CCGATTTTAACACATTTTTTTTTTTTGCAAATATTTGTGTAAAGCCATTGTTGCAGGAAAACTATCAAGCACTCTACACAAATCTCGTAACATGAGCTGATGTTTTATATTAAGTGCAAAGAACATCACCTCATCCAGTAAAAATTGTGTTCGCCTGTAACTTTGCCTTGGTTTTTGTAAAAAAAAAAAAAAGTCGTACCCACCTTCAGTTTTATCGACTTTTCTGCCAAACCCGGGGACCCTGGAGATTGGAAAATTTAATTTTGACCTACCTAGATAAATTTTCAACATGTGTGTAGAATTTCATCGAAGTCAGCCGAGAAATGTGGACGTGCATAGATAGCAGACTCACACAGACATTTTCTGTTTATATTTATATATATATATATATATATATATATGTGTGTGTGTGTGTGTGTGTGTGTGTGTGTGTGTGTGTGTGTGTGTGTGTGTGTGTGTGTGCGTGTGTGTGTGTGCGTGTGATAATTTTTATCCACATATCAGTCACCTTCGAAAATAGATTAAGCCGAGGTAGGGTGGGGGTATCCATTTCAAAGCGAATGATGGCATTCATGTGCGCACATCGTCTGGTCAGTCACAGCGAAAGATTACTTTTGGCACCAAAATATGCCGTTAAGTGTCTAGAGAATTTTGTTTTATTTTATTTATTTATTTATTTATCCTTTTATTTATTTATTTATATTTTTTTCTCCTAAGGACTGTTCCGTACTTAAACGCGTCGCACTGAACTACAATTTGTTTTTCTATCTTGTGATTGGGTTAAGCTTTTAAACCTTTTATTATTTAATGCGAAAACTATATATATATATATCATGAAAAAGAATCCACACACTACATGTGCGGTCTATCTTTCTACAAGGTGGCCAATGAAAAACTGAAGATTTGGAAAAGTCATAACTTGTTCTTTTTCAATCCTTTTTTCTTTTCTTTTTTTTTTAATGGAGATTATAGATCATCCCATGGAGATTAAGATGACAAACGTATGATATCCAGCAACGGATAAATATGTCCATCAATTGAGTTTTTCGATTTCAATGAAAGATCAATTATTCAAACTCAGAGAAAAATACCGGCAATATATTAATGTCAGAGTATCTCCTAGCGATAACATGATTCGGAACCTAATCGCCCGCTTTGAAAGAACTGGATCAGTCGACGATCTTCCGGGAAGAGGTCCTAAGCACACTGTACGCACTGACGCAGCGGTGGAAGCTGTACGGCAGAGTGCCTTTGAGGAACCATCACCGTTCTTCTCAATTAGACATTGTCAGAAAATCGCTCCAGAATATTTTTAAATTGGATTAAAAAATGTTTATAATATAAGATTCAAATGATCCAAACTTTACTACCTCAAGATAATCATGTGTTTGTAAAAGTTATTTTTGTTTTATATCATTTAGTCTTTTCATTAGCCACCCTGTAAAAAAAGGTATATTTTGACAGCAAATATAACAAGTTTGATTAAAAAGAATCGCCATGGTCTGCCTGTTTCATTTTTTATTATCCTTTTCCAACTTTTGGATAAGATGTTGAGTATTATATTTGAAGTTGTGGATAAACTGTCCAAAGTTTATATTTTATTATTTTTATTAAAGTTCAACCATTTCAAACATCCAGTGTCCTAATGAATACCAAGAAGCCAATTGTCTGGTTTGAAAGAACTGGATCTTCTGGGAAGAGGTCCTAAGTGCACTCTTACGTAGCAGTGGAATCTGTACTGCAGAGTGTTCTTGAGGTCGCTGCTCTTCTCAATTAGACATTGCCAGAACATCGCTTCAGAAGATTCTGAAATTGGATTAAAAAGTGGTTCCATACAAGATTCAAATGATCCAAACTTTACTACCTCAAGATAATCATGTGTTTGTAAAAGTTATTTTTATTTTATATCATTCAGTCTTCCGTGTATCTTTCATCCTGTTTTGTAAAATTTTTCATTTCTTTGTTCAACTTTCTTTGATTCTGTCTGTCTCTCTTTCTTTCATTTGTTTGTTTTACATTTCTTTCTTTTATGTTATCTCCATAATTCTTTTAAATATTTTAACTTCTTTCATTCTTCAGTTTTTCTTTCTTTCTTTCTTCCTTTCAAGTTTGTTTTCTTTACATCCTTTCGTTTGTTTTGTATACTTTTCTTTCTTTCTTTCTTTCTTTCTTTCTTTCTTTGTATTTTTACATCCTTTCGTTTGTTTTGTATACTTTTCTTTTTTCTTTTCTTTCTTTTTTTTATTTTTTTTTTTTTTCTTTTTTTTTCTTTTTTTCTTTCGTTTGTTTTTTCAACTTTTTCTTTTTTTTTTATCTTTCTTTTTTCTTTCTTTCTTTCTTCCTTTGTTTTGTTTTCTTTTTTCCTTTCTTTTTTTTATCTTTTCTGTCTGTCTGTCTTTCTTTCTTTCTTTCTTTCTTTCTTTCTTTCTTTCTTTGTATATTTACATCCTTTCGTTTGATTTGTATACTTTTTCTTTCTTTCTTTCTTTCTTTCTTTTTATCTTTCTTTCTTTCTTTCAAGTTTTTTTCTTTTTACATCCTTTCGTTTGTTTTGTATACTTTTTCTTTCTTCCTTTTTTTATCTTTCTTTCTTTCTTTCTTTTTATCTTTCTTTCTTTCTTTTTATCTTTCTTTCTTTCTTTCTTTCAAGTTTTTTTCTTTTTACATCCTTTCGTTTGTTTTGTATACTTTTTCTTTCTTCCTTTTTTTATCTTTCTTTCTTTCTTTCTTTTTATCTTTCTTTCTTTCTTTCTTTTTTAGTTTTTTTCTTTTCTTCCTTTCGTTTGTTTTTTCACTTTTTCTTTCTTTTTTTTTTTTCTTTCTTTTCTTTCTTTTTTTTTTTTCTTTCTTTTTTCTTTCTTTCCTTTTTTATCTTTTACTTCCTTTCGTTTTTTTTTATACTTTTTTCTTTCTTCTTTTTTTCTTTCTTTTTTTTATCTTTCTTTCTTTCTTTCTTTTTTCAAGTTTTTTCTTTTTTACATCCTTTCGTTTGTTTTTTATACTTTTTCTTTTTTTTTTTTTTTTCTTTTTTTTTCTTTCTTTTTTTCTTTCTTTCTTTCTTTTTCTTTCCTTTCAAGTTTTTTTTTTTACATCCTTTCGTTTGTTTTGTATACTTTTCTTTTTTTTTATCTTTTCTTTCTTTCTTTCTTTTCTTCCTTTTTGTTTTTTTACATCCTTCGTTTGTTTTTGTATACTTTTTTTTCTTTCTTTCTTTTTATTTTTTATTCTTTCTTTCTTCCTTTCTTTCTTTCTTTCTTTCTTTCTTTCAAGTTTTTTCTTTTTACATCCTTGCGTTTGTTTTGTATACTTTTTCTTTCTTTCTTTTTTATCTTTCTTTCTTTCTTTCTTTTTATCTTTCTTTCTTTCTTTTTGGCCTTTATTTTTTGCAACTCTTTCCTTTCCTTACTTCTTTTAAACATTTTAATTTCCTTCTTTTCTTCTTTCTTTCTTTCTTTTCTTCTTTCTTTCATTCTTTCATTCATTAATTTTTCTTTATTTTAAGCTATCGCCTTTACTTAAACATTTTAAAATCTGCCCTGTCTTTCTTCCTTTTTTTCTTTCCTTCTTTCATTATTTTTCTTTTTTTAAAGTTATCGCTTGTTTTACCTTTTTTCATTCCTTTCCTTTCATGTTGTCTCTTCCCTTCTTTTAAACATTTTAACTTCTTTCTTGTAAGGTATCGTTTTTCTTTTAAACTTTTTTTCAATCTCCTTCATCTTTCTTTAGTGCACTTAGTCATGATTTAATTCTTTTTGGTATCATCCATCGATTCTTTTACCTTTTTTTTTTATCTTTTTATCTTTCTTTTGCTGTCTCCTTCCTTCTTTTAAACATTTTAACTTCTTTCTTTCTTTCTTTTTTTTAAGCTGTCGCCTTCCTTTTAAACATTTTAAAATATGCCCCGTCTTTCATTCTTTCTTCCTCCCACATTATTCAGTTTCACTCTTCTCTTGTTTCTTTCTTTCATTTGTTTTGCTTTTCATTCTTTCTTTCTTTCTTTCTTTCTTTCTTTCTTTCTTTCTTTTTTAATCTATCGCCTTCCCTTTAAAAAATTTAAAACATGCCCCGTCTTTCTTTCTTTCTTCCTCCCACATTATTCAGTTTCACTCTTCTCTTGTTTCTTTCTTTCATTTGTTTTGCTTTTCATTCTTTCTTTCTTTCTTTCTTTCTTTCTTTCTTTCTTTCTTTCTTTCTTTCTTTCTTTCTTCCTCCCACATTATTCTTACTTTCATTCTTTTCTTGTTTCTTTTTTTTCGTTTGTTTTTCTTTTCTTTCTTTCTTTCTTTCTTACTTTCTTTCTTTCTTTCTTTCTTTCTTTCTTTCTTTCTTTCTCCCACATTATTCTCACTTTTATTCTTTTCTTGTTTGTTTGTTTGTTTATTTGTTTGTTTGTTTTTTGTTTGTTTGTTTCTTTCTTTCTTTTTTCTTTTTTCTTTCTTTCTTTCTTTCTCCCACGTGCTATCACTTTCATTCTTTTCTCGTTTCTTTCGTCTGTTTTACATTTCTTTCTTTCTTTCTTTCTTTCTTTCTTTCTTTCTTACATGTTGCTTCCTCCCTTCTTTTAAACTCTTTAACTTCTTTATTTCATTCCACCTTACATTCCTTCTTCGGCCACATAGAGATTAACAATTCAAACCTGAAACGCAACTAAAATTAGCAAAAACATTCCAATAGTAAATCTCACAATCTATTTATAAAAGACACTGAACGCATCTTATGCCCCCCCATACATATATATATGTGTGTGTGTGGGTTTGTGTGTGTTTGTGTGTGTGTTCTTTATCTACTCATAATAGTACTATTAAATATATACTTCTTACCGCAACGAATCTATTTTTGAATATTAACCCCGATCTTCTCCCACGCGCAATAAAACAAACGTGTGTTTATTTTTATCCATTATTTTTAGCGACTTTGGTAACAATTGGTGCCTCAAAGAGACAGACAAGGAACTCTTTTTGGTTAATTGTTGCCAATGTAATTACGGCTGCAATTATTGGATGATCGTTGTTGTTGGTAATGTTTTATAATTGCAAATATTAAAAACATTACAATTTCTAGAGGGTCTTCTCGATTCTCTTGAGATTTTTGGAACAATAAGTTTTTACCCTCTCCTTCTTTTTTATATATATATATATATATATATATATATATATATATATATATATATATATATATATGCAGAGAGGGGAAAGAGAGAGAGAGAGAGAGACAGAGTAAAAGAGAGAAAAGAAAGAGAGATGGGGGAGAGAGTGAGAAAGACAGAGAAAGAGACGGTAAGACAGAGAAAAGGAGAGTAAAACAGAGAAAGAAAGAGACAGACAGAAAGAGAGAGATGGGGAGAGAGAAATAGAGAGAAACAAAGAGAGAGAGAAAAAGTAATAGAGATTAGGGAGAGCGAGTGAAAGACATAGAAAGAGAGAGTCAAAGAGAGAGAGAGAGAAAAAAAGAGATGACGGGAGAAAGAGAAAGGAAAATTGGTTCTCTAGATCGTGCTATTTTTTCATTTATAGGTCGATAATTCGTCTATTCTTTGAATATTTCTGTCCCATCTCTGGTCGGGCGCTCCTGCTATATATTTAGAGATTCTTGGCACAACCCAAAGAATCTGCAATGTTATTGGTCCTGCTCTGGCATCTCGGCTCGAGTCACTTTCCCAGCGCGATAACGTAGTTTCCCCTGTGCATTTTCAATAAATATTTTCAATGTAATTATTCTGATAATCTTTCCTCTATGGTACCTCATCTTTATGAATCTAAACGCAGTACTAGACTGACAGTTAGGTCTCATCATTTTACAGTTGCAATGGTTAGATGTAACCGTAAGTTCTATGTTAAAAGTTTCCTTTTTTCGCACTTCTCGCTTATGAAATTATCTTCTGTCTTCTATACGACGAATGTATATACCATAGTTTATGTTACTCAAAATCGAAAAGATCTTTCAACTGTGAGTACTTCCTCATCCCCCACCGTCATTAAAGCCACTGTTATTTCAACATAGCCTGTACAGGATTATAGCCAACATCAGACACAAAAGCACCGCCACCCCTCAGTACAAAAATACTGCCCTGGGCAGAATACCCCCTCAGCATACCCCATTTAGCTATACTACTGTATATGTAAATATATATGTTTATTTATTGAATCAATTTATTTTTATTATTTATTGAATCAATTGCGAAGTCTGCCGCTAGGAAAGTTGGTCACTGTGTTATGCTAGACAAATTTTACACATTCATAAGTCAATATTTTATCCATGATGATGACGACTATTTACTCCTGTTTTAATAGTAAGTCTAATCGACTCGATAAAGTCAAATTGGCAGCTGATCTTAAAAATGAACTACATTGTGTCATTAACTGGGACAATGAATGATTTGTTAATTTTAACATCTCCAAAACGAAACTGTTCTCTATCGCCTGAGAGTACCCCTTTTTGCCTTCCATCAGTATGGCTGATGCTAACCTGCAGGAGAGTGATTTGTTCAGCTTTCTTGGACTAATATTTTCCATTAACATGAATTGGAAAGATTATATCGAATCAAGTGAAAAGTCTGTTGCTAGGAAATTTGGTTCACTGTGTCGCGTTCTAGACAATTATTCTTGCCAGAATCTATTTTACATATTTATTATATATATATATATATATATATATATATATATATATATATATATTAAACCAGGGGGTCATCAACCTTTTGCTAACTATGTGCCGACTTATGGTTTTAAAATCATTCAGTGTGCCAACAGCATACGTATTTTTATACAAATCAAGGTCAATATACCTGTTATACAATATATTTTATATAGATATATATATAGTATATATACTTTAGGTGATATTAAAATTGAAACAGCTAAATATCTTCTTTGTGTTGTAGTAGTCATTGGTTCGGACTACGTGATGTCAACTGCGGCTGCGTGAAAGACATTTTTTTTGCCTGAAACTATCTTACATATTTATTATTAATATATAATTATTATATATATATTACATATATATAATATATATTAAACCATCAGTGTATTAACATGAAAACTCATCAAGTATGAATAAAAATAATTACATCCTATCAGATATATATATATATATATATATATATATATATATATATATATATATATATAAATATAAAGAGAGAAAGAGAGAGACAGAAAGAGAGACAGAGAAAGAGAGACAGAGAGAGAAAGATGAAAATTGGTTCACTAGAATCATAACTACAAATCTACCATCACTCTATGCTTTGAATATTTCTGCCACATCTAGTCTGGTTCTATTGTTATGTATTTAGAGATTCTTGATAAAATAAATAGAAGAATCTGCAATATTAGCAGTCCTGGATTGGCATCTCGACTTTAGTCACTATCTATCTATCTATCTATCTATCTATCTATCTATCTCTGTTCATATTGCTAGATATACTACTAAGAAAGTTCCCGGTATTGTTTTGCGCTAGACAATCTTACACATTTATATATCTAACTCAATCTGTTTCTATCTATCTATCTATCTATCTATCTATCTATCTATCTATCACAGTCTGTTTTCTTTCTTTCTTTCTTTCTATCTATCTTCTGTTCTATCTATCTCAATCTGTTCATATTGCTAACAATCTACTACTAATCTAAAAGTCTGTTATTTCTATCATGGCATTGTTGTTGCGCTAGACAATCATTGTTTGCGCTAGACATTTATCTATCTAAATCAGTCTGTTTCTATCTATCTATCTATCTATCTCAATCTGTTCATATTGTAAGATCTACTACTAAGAAAGTTATTTCATGGCATTGTGTTGCGCTAGACAATCTTACACATTTATAAGTCTACCATTCGTCCATGCATTGAGTATTACTGCCACATATGGTCTGGTGCTTCTGCTATGTATTTAGACATTCTTGATAAAATACAAAGAAGAATCTGCAATGTTAGCAGTCCTGGATTGGCATCTCGATTTTAGTCACATCCTTTTTTTTTAAATCGAGTTCACCTCAAACAAGACCGCAAAGCCACAGAGACGGAAGGTGTTACCGGGTGTGGAATAGTTTGAAACAGGAACATTGCTAAGAAGAGTAATAAGGCGGATAGTAGATAGCAATTGGCATTGCATTTAACCTTTTGCCGATTAAATTTGGATGGAAAGTATGGAGCCGAAAGGGAGTTCCACAAACGAGAAGTGTGAGCAAAGAAACTGTTAGCGTAGAATTTACGGTTACATCCAGCCGGCACAAATTTAAATTGATGAGATCACGACGCCAGACTAGTACTGTGCTTAAATTCTAAAAGCACCTCCGAACAATTACCATGAAAGTATTTATGTATATTCAAATCCGAGACTGGACTATAAATTGCCTAGATGAGACGCAGTGTGTGATTAAAAATGAGGAAACTTGTAGCTGACGGATGGCACACAAGTTGATACCCAATCAGTATCGGCTGGGTAATCGTGGAGAGGAGGTATGATGTTCAAAGACAAGAAAGCCCTAACCAAACTCGGCTAAAAACATTACTGATGATGTGTGGCAAAGCCTCCAACAGATGTATTTCACGAAATGGAATATTTCTTGTTTTAACGTCCTTTCTTCTCGCTAATGTCTTCTCATTGTCTTTCAATCTCAGTAGCCTCTTTCGTCTTAGTGATATTATCGTCATCTTCTGTCTTCCTGAAACCTGTTCTTTTATTGTCCTTTCTCCGTACTAAAGTCTTCTCATTCTCTTTCATTCTCAGTAACCCCTTACATCTTAGTGGCATTATCTCCATCTTCTTTCTTCCTAAAACCTGTTCTTTTATTGTCCTTTCTCCTCACTAAAGTCTTCACATTCTCTTTCATTCCCAGTAACGCCTTGCGTCTTAGTGACATTATCACTTTGGTAGGGGTTAAATTATAGAAAAAAAAATAACTTGGTTTCATCATGGCTACAATATTCTTATTTCATTCTCCGTAGCAAAGAAATGATAATAAGTTTTTCTGTTAGTCATTATGTAACAATTTTGCTGGATGAAAATTTACCTAAAAATTGGTGACAGAATTTACGCCTATGTTATGGAAAAATCTACTGAAGTGCTACTCGGAACGGGAATACGGAAATGAATCCGGACTAAACAAGCAAAAATCGGGATGGTAAGGTTGAGAATAGCCGTTTCTAGACAGGAAACATTTGGCATTCATTGACCGAAAAGTCAGCGTTAATGTCGGTTGAAACTTATAAAGTATTTTATTAAAAAAAAGATTTCAGGAAATTAGAGTTCTCGAGTCCAGTGTTATCCTTCTTTCAAGTACTGATGGCAGTTTCCTGTCAAACCTTTTTTCAGTAGTGTAAAAGTCAACATCTTGATTATATAATTATTTTCACTTAAAGTTACAGGTGTTATCCATTTGACTTCTTGTTATTGTGGGAATTCTTCAATCAATGTGTTTCTTGTTATTTGGAAAAACACTAATATATATATATATATATATATATATATATATATATATATATATATATATAATAAAAAGAAGAGAGAATCCGCAAACGTTTTTTGGTTGTAATGTGGATTTTTAAAATATGCTATGCTGTATTTTCCATGATTTTGCTACATGGGTTTCAGGTCTCGCGATCTTCATCAGGCAAAGAGTGGGTATTTCCACATATTATTAAAAGGAATTAGGCATTCTCTTTTATGTGTGTTAGTGACCCTCACCAAAAAAATCCACATTAAAACCAAAAACGTTTGCGGTTTCTCTCTCCTTTTTCTTAATTATTCACATATATATATATAAAAGAAACAAGTTATAGTGGTTCCAACGAGAGAAAAGTGTGTATATTAAAAAAGAAGAGAGGTACCGCAAACGTTTTTGGTTGTAATGCGGATTTTTAAAAAAAAAATCTTATGCTTTATTTTCCATAATTTTACTACACGTGTTTCTGGTCTCATGACCGTCTTCAGGTAAAAGGCGGAGATTTCCACATATTATTAAAATAATTCATTTTTTTCCTTTATGTTTTTCGATGTTAAATATTCTCGAGAATAAAGCATAATATATTTTTTTAAATCCACATTACAACCAAAAACGTTTGCGGTAACTCTCTTCTTTTAATATATATATATATATATATATATATATATATATATATATATATAATAAAAGGCTTAAACATTTTTTTGTTTTCTTTTTGAACTTGTAGGTCTGATGAATTGGATCGTATTTACGATTCCAAAGGAATAAATTATAACCATGGAATATTAGTGTTTGAACCTTTTATATTATATCCTTACTCTGTCCTGGACATTGAGTTCTACCTGGATTCTATCCTCTTGGAATTTTTTTATTCAAAAAATATATATGTATGTGTATGCATGTTTGTATATATATTTATATATTTTGCATATGTATGTGTATATTTACCACTAATATTATCTATCTATCTATCTATCTATCTATATATATATATATATATATATATATATATATATTATAAATTCATGAATCATTCATACAAAAAACAAATATAGAGGTTAATGATTTAACATCTTCGCAAACAATATAAATAAGATGCACCAACCCCGAACCTGTATATGAATGATATGATCCCTGTTTATAAATTCCAGTTGCATAAGGTCTTTTTAATTTTTTACAAGCTTTCGTCTGTTCCTACAGACATCCTCAGGTATGGAAATAGATTTGTTCTTGTTTTTTACTTCTCGGTAATAAGAGGACAACGAAAATAGAGATGTAATCCGAAAAAATGCTATGAGAAATGTGTTATTGTTTTGGAACGTGTGGTCGCAACGCTGAGTTTGAATTTAAATTTTTAAGGTTGTGCGGTTTGTATATGCGTTTTCTCTATTCTTTTTTTATTAATTATATATATATATATATATATATATATATATATATATATATATATATATATGAGTAAAGACAAAGGAAAACTTGACTTAGCCGACGTGTTTCTTCTTCTGAGGGGCTTTATCAAGGCAAATGTATGAATTTTAAGTATTTATATACAAGGGCAAAAATGTTATTGGTTTTTCCATATCTTTCGTATAGGAGTGCTAATGAATATTCATTAGGTTAGCGGAAAGGTCAGGCAAGTTCGTAGACATGGCGTGATACAATTCAATGCCAAGCAAAACGAAAGTGGGTAGGATATATATATATATATATATATATATATATATATATATATATATATATATATATAAAATATATATATAAAAGATGTGCTATATTTATAGTATAAAGGGATCAATATCAGAGATAGAGCGTGTGTAAATATAAAGTGAACATAGAAGTCAAAACTTAGAGGCGACAGGTTGTTTCATGCTAGACGCAATCGTCAGGCCACGACGATTGCGCCTAGCGTGAAACAGACTGTCGCCTCTAAGTGTTGACTTCTATGTTCACGTTTATATTTATATACATACATATATATATACATATATATATGTGTGTGTGTGTGTGTGTGTGTGTGTGTGTGTAAATTAGTTATGGATTTAACCGTTTACTTTCAATTCTTTTTATTATTTTTGTGTTAAAGTATTTTGGCTTCGGATAATGTATAATATAATGTATATATATATAATATATAAAATATAATATATAATATATATATATATATATAAATATATATATAATATAATATATATAATATATATAATGTATAATATATATAATATACATATAATATAATATATAATATATAATATAATTTGGTTTCGGATAGTAATATGTCTTTTATTAAAAAGTTTTTTTTTCAATAAGTGTGGAATTCACTCTATCTGAAATTTTACACACTCTCTCTCTCTCTCTCTCTCACACACACACACACATATATATATGTTTAATATATTTTCCTTGTTATTTATATATACAAAAATATTTAAGTAAATGCTCTGTTTATAATAAACAGTATTAACGACATTTACCGGCCTGAACGCCCGAGAAATTTCGTAGAGAATTTGCTTTCTCCGATAGGAATCGAACCTATATCCTATGCGGTACCGTCATATAGTCTGACGTACAATACCAGTTTAGCTACAGAGGAGGGTTTCGTTATCAATGTCAATATTACTGCTTTTAAATTACATTGTTCTATGATTTCCCTCGAACGTTCATATCTGCTCGAAGCGTATCAAAACGTAAGATTTTTTTTTTTTAAAGTTATTCAACATCGCTTGAGAATGGAGCAAAAACTTTAATTTTAAGTTAAATTTAAGGTTTAGGTTTTGGTTCCGAAACAAGGTAATTTCTGTGTCGCGATGAATATATATTTTCAAATATGCATGTATTATATCATTATGCTCTACTGTGTATCGAGCACTGGTTTTAAAAATAATTTACAAGGACCAGTAGGAAAAATTCTGGTCGGAAACACAAGAATTCTATATAAATCACAACATCACATTCTATATATATATAACATTTCTCTACCACTATCAATTTCACAGTATTTAACAGTGGAAATGGAGTTTTAAAAGTTAGTTTTTTTTTTTTTTTTTTTTAAATAGAGAGATGCTCACGCGAATTGCAGCACGGGAAGGGTCAGAATGAACGCTCCTATTCAAATCAACACAAAAATGAATCACAACACCAGAGACAAAACACCCTTGAAAATGACTATAGAAATGACCAAAAGCGCTTGGGACAATAAAAATTATGGATATATACATACATTCTATTACAGCTAATAGAGCAAGGCTCTTTGGTAAAGCTATATCGAGTCCTCTCAGTCACTGAGAGTTTCTCTAAAAAATAAATATGCTTAAATTCACTTTCATCCTTGCCGTGCGCCGACGGCTTAGTGGTAGAATCTCCAACTGTCGGCAATTGAACCGGGTTTCGATCCTAGCTAGAAGCAAACTGACGTCTAGCCACATTGATGAGCTGTGATACAGTGAACCAGTCTGTCTGTGAATGACTATATATATATATATATATATATATATGTTAGTGTGTGTGATAAAAATATGGTTGTAAGTTATTTATAGGTTAAAGAAAGGTTGCAGTTTAAAAGAAAGTTTGCTGCCCAAATATGCATTATGTATGTATATATCCATAATTTTCATTGTCCCAAGCGCTTTTGGTCATTTTCAAGGGTGTTTTGTCTCTGGTGTTGTGATTCATTTTTGTGTTGATTTGAATAGGAGCGTTCATTCTGACCGGGTTCTATAGCCTTGGATGATAATACTCTTCGTAAATGTATGAACCTTCTTCTTCTCCCCCCCCCAGCTATGGGTGAATAGCAGGACAGACCAGGTTCTATAGCCTTGGGTGCTAATACCCTTCGTAAATGTATGAACCTTCTTCTTCTCCCCCCATCTATGGGTAAATAGCAGTGCAGACCGGGTTCTATAGCCTTGGATGTTAACTGGTCTACCGCAGAAAGAACTGGCAACCTGCTGCGGGAAAAAATCTGTCTCGTCAGTCATGGTGCCGAAAGATACATGATCGCCTAAGCGTGTGTCACGCATGGCACATAACTGACTGACTGACTGACTGTATCAATAAAAACATTATTACCCACCCCTGCATTTTATTGCCACTATCAGATGAGAAAAAAAAATCCTCACCAGCCACAAATCCATGGGGTCTCTTAAGACCGACAGATGCCAGACAGAGTCACAATATTCTTCATTAGAAAAAGATATTAATTTACTTTGAGGTAAGAACCCAAGCTACTATTAATGATGTGTTACGACATCTCTGAGTCACCCTTTTAGACACACACACACAAGCAGAGAAATATGCGTATTGTTCACACTAAAAATTGTCACCTGCGTATTTCGTGTAAAGATGACATTCCTTATTGTCGTGACATCATAGGTACTTAAATTGGACAATTTTTGCCGATGAATAATTTGCGCTTCCTTCTCTTACAAAAAAAACTTACGTCTCATAGGTGCAATTAGCGTAAAACTCTGTTATAAATCTACAGTTTATCATGTTTGATCGTCATTTTTTTTCTTGACATGTTGAACAAATACTACAATATTCGGCGCCGCGCCACCCCATTTAGTGTCATTCAGCTCAGCGGGATCACATTTAATGTTACTTGGCTCAGCTTTACTCCGTTTAGTGCTACTCGGCTCAACCCTACCCGTTTAGTGTTACTCGGCTCAAATCTAATCCATTTGGTGCTACTCGGCTCAACTCTCCTCCGTTTAGTACTATTCGGCTCAACCCTACCCGTTTAGTGCTACTCGGCTCAACTCTACTCCGTTTAGTGATACTCGGCTCAACCCTACCCGTTTAGTGCTACTCTGTTCAACTCTACTCCGTTTAGTATTACTCGACTCAACGCTACCACGTATACTGCTACTCGCTCAGCGCTACACTGTTTAGTGTTACTTTGAACAGTACTATTACCTGTAGTCTTACTAAGCTCAGCGCTACCCCGTTTAGTACTATTTTGCACAGCGTTACACCGTTTTGTACTTCTCGGCTCAGGCCTACCCCGTTTAGTGCTTCTCGGTTCAGCGCTACCCCGTTGAGTGATACTCGGCTCACTGCTACTCTATTTAGCGATACTCGACTCAGCACTATCCTGCTTATTGTTACTCAGCTCAGCGATATCATGTTTAATGCAACTAGGATCGGAGCTACCCTGTTTAATGTTACTAGTTTTAGCGCTAACCTTTTTAGTGTTACTCAACTCAGCGCTACTCCTTTTAATGCTACCCGGCTCGGCTCTACCCTGTTTAATGTTACTAGGTTGAGCGCTACCCTTTTTAGTGTTACCCGGCTCAGCGACACCTTTTTAATGCTACTCTGCTCGGCGCTACCCTGTTTAATGTTACTAGGTTAGCGCTACCCTTTTTAGTGTTAGTCGGCTCAGCGCTACCCTTTTTAGTGCTACTAGTTTTCCGAAATTTACTCAACGGGCAGTGCTGAACCTAATAGACGGCATGGAATCGGCGAGACGAATTCAGATTCTAATCAAGTTTGTTACACTTATGTTCGCACTAATACTCTGGGGAAAGGCATGAATCCATTTCTTTTCTTCACACCCCACTCCAGCTATGAATAAAAATAACCGGAATCTCTAGCATTGGTTGGCGACCATTTAAAGCGAAGGCCTTATCTGTTAAGAAGGCAACGGAAACCAGTCACCCTTTTCTCAAGTAGTCGTGGCAATCCTCGGATGAGATAAGGAATTTTAGAAGAAACATGATGATCTATGTCCTGAAAGGACATAGCATTACAAAAAAAGTAGTATGTTATTTTGAATATATATCGTAGTGGATGGAAATGAATGAAATAAGAAGCTATGATGGTTCCATCTGTCACTAGTAGTAAGCACTGTTTTAGCTGCACTGTACTGTATGTCAATAACTAGGATATTTCTGGCCTCTAATAAGACTGAGTAGTGTTCATGCCAGTTCGGTGCAGTTTCATTCCCGTAAATGTATTATTATTATTTTTATTTTCTTTGATTTCTGGCGTTTACACATTTCTTTCTGGGTCCCGCCCAGGGACCTAATGTTAGAAATGGCATCATGACACTTTCCACTGACAAAAAAAAAAAAAAAAATTACATAGATAAAGCCCTTCGTAAGGTGTGGGCTGTACTTGTCAGAACAATTTTTTTGTATCTCCTTGAGGCATGGACTTCCATGAATCCCTTCAATTAGTCTACTGGAATCTTTTCCAACCAATCCTAGGACTCCAACTACAACAGGGATTGTTGATGTTCCCATATGCCACATTTTTGAGATTTCTATTTCATGGTTCTTGTATTTTGACAGCTTTTTGAATATCTTCAAAGATACATTGCAGTCAACAGGGACTGCCATATCAATAAGGAGGCACTTTTTTTTATTTGTGGTCTTTAACAACAATATCTGGGCGGTTGGCCTTGATTGTTCTGTCAGTGATTATTATTATTATTATTATTATTATTATTATTATAATTATTATTATTTCCAGTGATTTCTGTTGGATATGCATTTTTCCGGATCCCAACTAGGGACATAAGGCAAAAAATGACTACATGACATTTTCTACTGATCATTTTTAGTAAAAAAAAAATATACAAAAACAAACGAAAAACAAACCCTAAGATCACACATATTTTACATAGATAAAGCTCTTCGTAATGTGCAAGCTGTACTTGTGATTACAATTTGTTGTATTTTTTAAGGTATAGGCTACCAGGAATATCTTCAATGAGTCTATTGGAACATTTTAACAGAATTTCTGTCTTTAAATCGATAAAGCTCTTCGTAATATGTGAGCTGTACCTGTGAGTACAATTCTTTTGTATTTCTTTAAGGTATGGACTACCGGAAATCACTTTAATGAGTTTATCGGAACCTTTTCCAAACAATCCGAGTGCTCCAACTACAACCGGGATTACTGATATCCTCATGTGCTGCATTTTTGAGATTTCGATTTCTTTATTATTATTATTATTTTCTTGGATTTATGTTGTATACATATTTCCTTCCGGGTCCCAACAAGAGACCTATGATCAAAAAATCGCTTCATGACATTTTCTACTGATAAAAAAAACCCAGAAAACTTAAGATCACGCACACTTTATATAGATAAAGCTCTTTGTAATGTGTAAGCTGCACTTACGAGTACAATGTTTTGATTGTTTTTAAGGTATGGCCTACCAGGAATCTCTTTAATGAGTCTATCGGAGCCTTTTCCAATCAATCCGAGTGCTCCAACTACAACTGGAATTATTGATATTCTCACATGCCACATTTTTTAGATTTCCACTTCAAGATCCTTATATTTTGATATTTTTTATTTTTGAAGATCTTCAAAGATACATTACAATCTGCAGGGTCTGCCATGTCAATAAGTGTTGTAGAGTAGTTTTCACAGTGGAGGCTTGTATTTCGCTAAGTCGGTCCTAAAAGGGTCTGACGTACAAAACGTTAAGAACTTGCAATAATGATAGTTAATGACGCAGCAATCTAGTTGTGGTGGTTGATACTTTAATGTCCGACATCGACTGACTCACTCAACACCACTGAGCCCAACTGGCGACCGCTACTACTACTACTACTACTTATGTATGGGAGAGTCTATTACAATAGAATAGGTAATGTTCTGGTATAACAATAAGAAAGCGCATTCTGTTTTTGTGGTCTTTGATTACGATATCTGGGCGATTAGCTTTGATTGTTCTGTCAGTGTGTATTGTATACTACCATAAAATTGTTACATGTCCTATCTTTATAACTGAGTCTGGGTGATGTCCATACCAGTTTCTTGCAGTTTACTTTCCGTAAAGGATTATTATTATTATTATTATTATTATTATTATTATTATTATTATTTCCTTTTATTTCTGGTGTGTACACATTTCTTTCCGGTTAGAAATGGCATCATGACATTTTCCACTGACCAATTAAAACACACACACACACACACACACATTTTACATAGATAAAGCCCTTCGTAAGGTGTGTGCTCTACTTGTGAAAACATTTCTTTTTTGTATTTCTTTAAAGCATGGGCTTCCAGGAATCCCTTCAATGGGTCTACTGGAATTTTTTCCAACCAATCCGAGGGCTCCAACTACGACAGAGATTGTTGATGTTCCCATGTGCCACATTTTTGAGGTTTCGATTTAAAGGTCCTCAAGGTTATTATTATTATTATTATTATTATTATTATTTCTTTTCAAGCAACACTTATGATATAATTTAACGATCGCAGTGGGGGTCACAAAAAGTGTCCGAGGGTCCTGTCATTTCTTCGCCTCCCTCCACCAGCCAAACCCTTTCTCAGAATTATGGCAGTTTCCCAAGCAATGATGTTCTCTGAAACATCTCAGTTCCCAATTTTACCCAAGACATTTCGGGAATTCATCCCTCACTGTTCCAAGGATACCTACAACAACGGGATCGATTTCCACATTTTTAAGCCTCCCTAACCCCTCGTGCTATTTCCGGTTTCAACTCTTAATAACTTTCCTCCTCCTTCTCTTCCTTTTCTGTCTCAACCACCTTTACGTCCTCTGGTATCGGTGTATCGATGACCCAACACTCTTAGTCTTCCTTCTGAACCATAATGGTGTCTGGTCTTCTTGCTTCAGTCACATTATTACTTTACACGGTGAAGTCCGAGAACAGCTTTACACTCTCATTTTCCAATACTGCAGGTGACTTATGATTATTATTATTATCATTTGTATATGTTATGTTTCCTGCTTTGTATCTTCTAAATCCGGGTCCAAACTATGGTCCTTAGGCCTTATAGGAGAATTGTCATATAAGTGATACCACTATTCTTAGTATATGTGATGTTCCTAGTAGGACGATTTTCTGTGCAACTTGTATGTTATTACTATCTGGGACACTGTTAGTAAAATTGTCCATTCCTTTTCTCACGAGTCCCAGAGCTCCGATTACGATTGGTACAGGCTCAGTCTTCATTCCTCACATCCTGTTAATGTTGATCTCCGGGTATTTGGACAATTTCTTGATAATTTTTATGGAGGTGTTTCTCTCAGATGGTACTGCTATCTCAATAAGCATACACTTCCTGAATTTCTTGTCTTTTATTGTAATATAAGGTCTGTTGGCTTTTATTTCCCTGTCAGTTTTAATTAGTATATCCCAGAGAATATTTACATACTTATTTTGGGTAATTGTGTCTGGTTGGTGCTCATACCATCTCTCAGTGGTTTCGATTTTGTGCTTCTTACATATCTTCGAGAGCATATATGTCGATATTTTGTTATGTCTTTGGTCATATTAATTTTTTGCTAGTTCCGGAGTTCCTGGGATATAATTATCGACAATTTCATTATATTTTCCGCAGATCCTGCATTTCGGTTTAGTTCCTTCTTCTTCTTCTTCTTCTTCTTCTTATTATTATTATTATTATTATTATTTTATTTTCATCTTCTTTATCGCAAGAAGATGTTAGGCCGTAATTTAACTATCAGGAGGGGGGTCATGACTCATAACCATCGGCAAAACGTTTCTCAGAATTCTGGCAGTTTCCCAAGCGGTGGTGTTTCCTGAAGAATCACATTTTGAATCAGCGTTCCAATTCTATCCAACCATCTTTGGATTTTGTCTGTCACAATAAAAATCACACAACAACTCTAACCACTTCTAATTTCTTAAGCCTCCCCCGCCTCAAGCACGCTATTTCATGTTTCAAATCATTATATCTTTTCTCCTTCTCCTCATCCTCCTTTTCTTTCCCAAGTCCCCTTACGTCTCCTGGTACCGCTATATCGATGATTTCCTTTTTATACCATTGTTCACCAAGACCCAAGCGCCACTCAAGTTAGAGGGTTACTGAATATGTTTGTTATAAGTACGTAAAGGGTGGGTGAAGTAAGAAGCGCAAATTATCGGGGTATGTAGGATAGATCCTAGACTTGATCCTAGACTTGAAGATTACAGTTATCGGGGAAGCATCCTTCAGGTAAAAAATTAACCATTCCAAGGGAGAAGCCGTCTTTCTCATTATGAATGGAATACGAAGGGAATATGAATGATTCGACTCTGTGTACGTGGCATGGCAGGTCCTAGCTGTGAAGGTCTGAACTGGTGGAGCTAAAGAATGCAGCTCGTCTGAACATTTGTCACAGAAACAACGATAGAGTAAAGAAAAGCAAGCATAGTTTTGTCCCTGGGTAAAGGGTTGCAAGGTGGGAAATAAGTCATCATCCACAAGGCCGTGCATGTAAATTCTTTTGAACTCTGTCAAGGCTTTAGAGTGAGGGCGGAGCAGCTCCAGGCCAGTTATGACAGCAATACTCTATTTCTGGGGGTCGCATCTTGCTCTTTTAAGGACCGAGCATATCAGAAAGAATCAGATGCTT